TAGAATGCATTATATAGAATGAGAATTTGACTAAAACTGCTGAGTGAAACGAATGATAAAATGGCAGAAGAGAACAGTTTTGGTGATAAAAGTCATGAGAGCGTTTGCAAGAGCAAGGAAAAGAATGAAAACCCTGTTAAAACAAGTGAACACCCTGTTAGGCTGGGACGAGCCAATGATATTCGAAGGAGAATGGAAAGTGATGCCATCAACTAACCAAATTTACAAATCCCAGTTAAAAAACACGTTCACAATGGCGTTCTATCATAAACTAACATTTACACGAAATACTGATTTCCCGACCCCCTCCAGTACCTCTTGACACCTCCAACAAATTCACCTAATGAAGTAATTATGGCTCATAAGTGATGATTTTATAACATGTCCTATCTGAATGACATTTATGACTTTGTTGCAACTCTCTTAATATTCCGATAATATTAAGAAGGTGAAACTGATCAAAATGAACGAACCGGTGAGGAAACGAATAGCAACGTATTGGAATCTGGAAATCAACCAGTTCAAGAATCGTCGACTAACTCAGGCAGGAATACTTCTCCGGGCATAAGGCCATCTGGCCAGAAGGGTTCAAAGGATCTCGACAAGAGTGTTGTTGCGCTGTCGTTGCAAGATGCTGTGCTCAAACGATCTAGCCAACCTAAACAACCAGCACGTGATCAACACGTCACTGTAGTAAGCTTCTGATGGATTCCGTAAGTCGACTATAAACTGCAGATGTTTATAGGAGTCATTCAATTCACTCATCAGATTGTAAATATTTGTATCAACAAATTGAAAGTTTTCCTGTAAAATTCCAAAGCAACACAAACTTTCCTTCAGAAAATCGAACGCATAGATGAAGATGATGAAAAAGAGCAATCGCCGATGAGTTCAGTCACCGGAAGGATATTATCCACAGATGAGAGCAGCTCGAGTAGTGAGGAATCTGAGCGGAATGTTAGATCACGAAGGCAGAAAAGTAGGATTAACCGAACGGAAACCGAAGAATACAAACCGTTATCGACAGAAGCTTCGGAAAGTCGAAAATTGGTATGTTATTGGCCAAATGATCTCATAGATCCAGTTGGTGGTTTGTTTCTGTGTGAAGAATATGGCACGTGCCTTGTCTGAACTGCTTCATTTCAGCGTGGATTCAAGAAAGCTTACAAGCATAAACAACATCAATGATTCAGTGCGTGATCAATTGTTTGATGCCAATATGAGCAACGTTCCAGTGAATCTGCTTTCCTCATGAAATTATACTCTAGATATGACATGTCTTTTTGGTTTCGCTGTTCAATCTTGCGATGCATATCTGATTACTTATGGTGTTTAACGTGAATTCGATTACTGAAATTTTGTATGTATTTTGTTGAAAACTCAATCTTTACAATGCTTCATGCAAATATCTTCCATGGAAAAAGTTATTGTTGCTGCCAATGCAGTTCTTCCAATTAATCCAAAACGATTTTTAACAGCCAATGCTACTTCATCTGGTATTCGAACCGTTTATATCCGCAAAGATAGTCAACTGAAATCATAAAAATATGCGCAGTCGCACACTAAGAAAGTGATTATTTGGTAGTTCTTAGTTTTTTGCTCTGTTTGACACGTATAAGTTTGTTCATGTCGTGAATTTATTGCTTCGTTCTTGAAGTGATTTTGCATAAACAATTTTTGTTTGAATGAGTATTTGATAGCACAAAATTTCAATCTGAACCATTCAGTAAACGAGAAAGACTGCATGCGAATCATGGTGATTCGTCTAGTGCGGTTAGCGGGTGCTCGGGAAATTTGCATTCACTGCACTTTTATGCAAATTCAGCTGATCGTCAATGGCAAGTTCAATCGAGCTCTTACCAAAACATTCTTGTAGGTGTTCAAGCGGGCGGGTGGTTGCTATTCGGACGATTAAATTGCTCAATATCGTCGTCTGCACGGTATTATCAACTGATATGGTTACATTCACTTGGCTCTAAAGAAACACTTTAGAAATAAAAGTGACATAATAGAAAAATGGAATTTAGCTAGCGTATCAGCATAGCACATCATTTGATCCGATGCTTTCATTGGGTTTTCTGATCACTCGATAAACAATAATTGAACATGTGAGCTCAGTGCTGACTGAACTAATGGAATGATGAATGTTCATGGCGGAAGTGTTTCAGATTATTTCTATCAGCTACAATAATCTGAGTGTATCCTAATTTCTTTGCCGTTTCATGATTCAGCCTAAGTCTTGCAGAAGTGCGCATTAGAAAAGTGAGCACAATCCAGTCGAATTGATTCAACTAACTGGACAAAGCCCATTCAAGTTGGAATTGATAACAGCTTGAAAACAAGCGAATGGAGCCGACAGTGCTTTACGCAGTTATTGCAGTGGTCATTATAACGGGTTGGTTACTGAAGCACTTCACGAATGCGGTCAATGCCACATGATCGTTGTCGTAAGGTGTCATAA